AATTCTATCGTCTTTCCCAAGCTTTAAAAACATCACATCAAAACATATTTCTGCATGTCTTTTTACACCTACGTAGATATTAAAATCAACATTAATAATGTTTATAGGTGTAAATTTCCATTTTCTAATACACGTCATTGTTTCTAAACCTTGTTGATGATATTTCTGTGCCTTGGCGACAGCCGCGCTTCATCTTGAAGAAAGCAGAGAGAATCACACCATAATTTATTGAAGAATTAACATTACTGTGTAGCGTTTTATCAATTTTCTAATACTATCCCTAAAGCCAAAAAGTTATAAAATACCATGATAATGAATCAAAAGCGTTTTCAAAATCAATCATAAGAAGCCTTCCAGGTATAAAATGATCTTCAATATAGTTCATGATATTATATATAAGCCTAGTGTGTTCTCCAATGTAGCGCCCTTATAAAACTCCTGATTGGTCTTAACATATACGTTTCCACATGTTTTTAAACAACCTGCTATAACCCCAGATGCTATTTTATAAACAATATTTAAAAGTGAATTCGGTTGCCAATTTTTTTTATGGAATGTCTTGGTTTGTCCCCTTTTGGAATGCAGGTAATAATACCCTGGTTTTTGGTAATAGAGTGTTCTTTTTTTATTATATCCAAAGTTAGGAGATATAACAACAAAAGAACCCATCTGTTTCCTTTTTTTGAAATTCTGTTGTAAACCCATCTAAATCTGAACTGCCTGTGTTGTCCTGATCATTTTATGTGCTGTTCTTCTATGTGAAAATGGCAGCTCCCCTTCACATTTCCAACGGTTTAACATAAGTACATGTTGAGGCTTTAATAGTGGGATGACCACAACGTTTTGAGAAAAGCACATGTCGGGACGTTCAAAAGAGGTTACCACAACGTTTCAATATAGGTACATATAACAGACTTTCAGGAGAGGTAACCTCAGCGTTTTAACATAACTACATGTCGAGACTTTCAGAAGAGGTAATCACAACATTTTAACATAACTACATGTCGAGACTTTCAGAAGAGGTAATCACAACATTTTAACATAACTACATGTCGAGACTTTCAGAAGAGTCAGTCACAATGTACCAGCTCATGTTATTTTCAATAAATTGTACATTAAAATGTTCTGGATAGATTTATATCTGAACGACCCGCTTAGACTCTCTAAAATGGCAAAATGGCCGAACATTATACAAAAGTCCGTCTGAATGAGTTAAAATCCGTTACATTTGTTAAACAGATTGGAAAATATGTAAACATTTGTTTGTTGTTTTTTTTCGTCTAAAAGTATTGACCATGGTGATCTTAATCCATAGGATTGCCCTGATTTTAGTTGTAGGTCTGATTGTTTCCACTCTCTGGGGATGTGGTATAAAAACAGCTTGCTACTATTGAGTATGGAAATCGACAGAAAACGTTGCACTTGTCTCGCTCCATACGACACGAAATTATTTTGATAAATCCAGTTTAATGAAGTTTGGACTATGTAGAAATGTCTATTTGATAAAGTAAAAAAAAAACACATATGTTTTCGATTTGCACATATTTTATTCATTATCAAGACAAACGAGCATACACTATCAAACACTTATACAATAACTTGTATATATATGTAAGATTGTTGTTTAATGATGAGTAAACCATTACGTGCATACCAATAACATACGTCAGGGACGGAACTCTAGTCATATCAGCATTACGTTTTAACACGCGACTACGCAAACGCATAAAGCAACTGTCTCACGAAATTCCCTAATAGAAATCGCTTGAACAATTGATATATATGTATCAATACTTTTGTCTGTGATAATCAATATCAAATATCAATGTATATCTTATTCAACACACACTGTCATCATAGATAAAAGCTCTGCATATATTAACTGCTGACACTATCATAAAAATTGTTGTGAATTTGTTAAGAAGTATGTTGTCCTGAAACGATGTCAATAAAAAAATACCAATTTGCCAACATAATCATAATGCGAACTCAAATTCGATAAAACTATGGCAAAAAATGAAAAAAAATTACACAGAAACTCCTGAAAAGTACAAGGAGAATAAGATCAGGTGTTCCGGAAGAGTAAGCGTCTTCTGAATCATCGACGACACCCGCCACGTAAACCTTGGTCAAGCCAAATAAGTGTCACTTTCTCAGATAAGAACAAGGTATACAACAACGGAAAAAAACAACTTTATACAGAAAAAATTCGACGGTCACTCAAAAATAGCACATGTCTTGACTTAACATACAAACACAACAGTTACAAGAAAACGTTTAAAACCATGAACGTTAAAATAAATAAATAAAACTGAAATAATGACAAACGTCATACCTCACAATATATCTGCGTTCATAACATCAGTATCTGGAATCAAAAACCTCCAACTGTCCACAATATAAAAAAATCGCTCAGCTAAATCAGCCAATGAACATTTACTTACGTTTTACATCTTTGTGTATATAATGAAATATTAACATGTTCAGAAAATCCGATTTCAAATACAAAATCGATTTAACAAATAAATAAATTTAGTGATATATTAACTGTAAATTTTTAAAATAATGTGCTATATGGCATTAAATATGGAATTTTGACGGAATTGCATTTTAAAGAAAATGGTGGGTGATTAAGAAAGATTTGTTTTTCTTTTTTGTTGTTTACTAATGAGAAAACTGCATTTATTTACAGATATTTTAAATGACACGCTTTAGTTGTGATAGTTTATTTTGAAAGCATTGTTTCCTACGCGCTAGACTGGCCTCTTTCCGAAGTGTAAACATTGATTTTGTAGGTAAGGCCAAATTGAGGATACAGGTAGGAAATATTAACATTTAAACAAATTCCAATATCAGTAGTTTTCCTGAATTAGTTATTAATGTCACCTGTTGATTTCTGAAGTCCCAAATGTACCTTAAACCATCAAAATATGTCTTTTTATGGACTTTACTGTGTTTGCTGTTATAAATCAACGATCAGTTTACAGGTAATGTATCAGGTAATAACATACATATATTAATTAAGTTGAGGTTGTCCTTTATACCATGCATTGTCAGAGATACTTCAACGTAAGGGAAAATGATTGTTCAATAAAGACGTTAAAACCATAGGTGGCAGGATGACATGATGATATGGTCTTTTGATACATATATTTACATATGTACATGAGATATGTATTACAAGGTATAATATTATATAATATTAACAAAATCATAAAATAAATACATCTGCAATCAACATTAACAATACCATTGAGAATTTTATTATATATATATATACAAATTCTCGGTAAAAGTTGTCTCCCTGTAAAAACCATTTTAATCACATTACTATGTAAACAGATCTACATCCTGTTTCAAAGATTTCATCAACTGAATTAGCAAGTTTGGGATAAAATGTCGTTGTCCATTCACACTCGTCTTTATTTCATTGTCCAATAATCTAGAACATTGTTCTGTCAATACTTTTATTTTATTCGATTTATTTATTTATTTATCCAATATTTACTTATTTATCGAAAATTTATTTATTTATCAATTATTTACTTATTTATCCAATATTTATATATTTATCCAATATTTACTAATTTATCGAATATTTATTTATTTATTCAATATTTACTTATTTATCCAATATTTATTTATTCAATATTTACTTATTTATCCAATATTTATTTATTCAATATTTACTTATTTATCCAATATTTATTTATTCAATATTTACTTATTTATCCAATATTTACTTATTTATCAAATATTTATTTATTCAATATTTACTTATTTATCCAATATTTATTTATTCAATATTTACTTATTTATCAAATATTTATTTATTCAATACTTATTTATCCAATATTTATTTATTCAATATTTACTTATTTATCCAATATTTATTTATTCAATATTTACTTATTTATCAAATATTTATTTATTCATATACTTATTTATCCAATATTTATTTATTCAATACTTATTTATCCAATATTTATTTATTCAATATTTACTTATTTATCAAATATTTATTTATTCAATACTTATTTATCAAATATTTATTTATTCAATACTTATTTATCAAATATTTATTTATTCAATACTTATTTATCCAATATTTATTTATTCAATATTTACTTATTTATCAAATATTTATTTATTCAATACTTATTTATCCATTACTAATTTATTTTGTGTTCATTTTTCTCATCTCTTCATTGGGGAAAAGTTTATTGATATCGAAAATTAAATAAACACTATCAAATTAAGTTTTTGTATTGATTGAGTGGGCAAGTCTATATTATATAATTTCAATGGAACAAATTTCGTTGAACGCATTATCACGTGCTGATGTTTTTAGCGAAGAAATAGTCACCATAGCAACCTATTCTTCTCTTAAATACTTCATACATTTTACCAACCGTTAGTTTTATGCTTTGAAGGAAACTGAGAATGCATTGTAGTTTGACTGTCATTTCTTTGAATATCGAATTTTACAAAGACACATGAGTGAAAAAAACCTTTTTCATACAAGTTTAGACTAAGATACAATATATCAGGTAGCACCATACAACTGTTTCGTTGTTGTAGGTCTCGTTATCGATATTAAGGGTCTAAATTATCCATATCCACGTATATATATATATATATATCGAAAATGCGTTTATTGTCGAACTGTCGCCTTCAGTTGCTGACGCAGATTAAAGGTTCCTTACAGTAAAGGAATGTACAATATTCATTAGAAATTTTGAGCATTAATGTTGAAGCAAGATAAATCTCAAAATTGTTCTTATCTAAAACTAGTTCTAAACTAGGTAAAGTAATCAACAGACTAGATTATCATTATCATTATTCTCAGAGAATTTTGTTTTAAATCAAACTGATCCGATTTCAACAATTATGTTTTTAGTAACATTTTTGATTTTTAAAACATAAGACTTCTTCATATTAAACAAATTTGATTGTTTTCAGTACACTGTTGAGTTCGCTTTTCTGCTTAATTCCTCGAACTATGTAGGATTATAAAAATTGTTATATTGTTCTACCTTGACATCCGAACACTGGCTGAATTCTCCAAAATTTTCGACGGTCACACAACTATCTCTTTTGGGATTAGTACAGAACCTACTGTACCTTTCCGCATCCGGTGACATCTTTCTTCCTTCTTGTACATTCGCAGGCGAGATTTTCTGCTTCTTTTCCGGTAACTCGTATCCATCCTTGTCCTCCATGTGACAGTTTTCGGTCCAACAACGACTAGTCATGGGGTTGTACGACTCGCCTTTGACGCCATGTTCTGGTGAGATAGCAGATCCATTTGAATGATGTTCCTTTTTTATAGCCTCTGTCTGGTCTCGTTCGATGTCGTTGTTTTCCATGTCATATCGCGTGCGCTTCAAGTTTGTATTTGCAGGTGGCGGGAAGTATAAACTACCATCCGTGGTAATTACATGTGATGATGATACTGGGTTGTAACATCCATTTCCGGTAGCTTCTCCTTGTTGTTGACCTGAATGGAAAACCATTCTCCCGTTTGAGTACTGTTCAGATTGGTACGGATTCGGTTTGGCGGCTTGAAACATATCGTTTGCGGGTCCATGTCCGCCGACAAGCTGATTTTCTGTTAACATCTGATATTTGTCTTGTGTCGGGAAACCTTCAAAACATCTCCTGTTTCAACGGAAATTAGAAAAATAATAAATCAACAACTTCGCAGAAAACAACAAGTATCAAAACAAATGAGAAAAACAAGTAAAGCACGTTACATACCCGTAGTCCGTTATTCAATAATAAATTAAATGGTTATCTAGATTTAAAGTTTTTAAACATTTATTCCGGTACTGTAATATTAATTTTCGCGGAGAATTTATTTTCGATGATTTCGTCTGTTCGGTTAATCCACCTATTCATACTTTTACGAATTAATGAACTGCTTAATATTTCACACACAATTTTAGTATCAGTGGGTTATTTTAGTACTAGCCATTCATGAAATCAAGCACCCACAAGTTATCGGGACAATTTTAACCTGACGTCGATATATCGATTAAGTATATTGAAAATTAAGTGACACTTTGATAAGGATTAAACATCTAACATTTAACTTCTACAACTTAAAGAGAGGTGTGGTTGATGGATGATTGGGTTTGCTGAAACGTTGTTGACAAAACCATCAAGAAAATACCAACATGGCAACGTAATCAAACTCATATTTGATAAAACTAGGGCAAACTATGAACAAAAGAAAGATTTACACGGAGATTCCTGAATAAGTATAATTAGAATAAGAGCAGATGTTTCGGAAGAGTAGCGTCTTCTGCTTCATCGACGACAACCGCCATGTAAACTTTGATCAATCCAAGTTCATAATGCCACGTTCACAAATGAGAACTTTGTTTCATGTCGCTCAAAGAAATAGAATATTCCTTGTTTTACGAGTTTATTAGTCTCGTGATAATGGGAAAAAGCCCTTAAATATCAACTGTGCTATGTAAAAAACCACAGATTGGAGATGCAGGGATTTTGCTATCCAGAAATGGAAAATTCACAATATGTAAAGAGACTGGGAAAATAGAAACATCTACAGGGCTCCGTTTACATCAAAGTATTATTGCGTATTTTAAGGAGTAGTAACTTACTGGTTACAACGGCAATAAAATCAAATTTACAATGCTTTAGTCTCTTCCTGTCCAACAAATGCTAACACTGAATAGTAAAACACACACCACAATAAACTTACCCTTCGTAATTATCTCTGAATCCCTTCGCAAAAGGGTTGTGGTCAATTTTCAGTTGGGTGATCTGAAATTAGACATTTTGATGAAAGTGGATTTCAAAAAAAAAAAAAATAAATAAATAGATAAAAAAATCGTCTCATCATTGGGGAAACATTCAGAATGATATTTTAAAAAAGGGATTTTCCTGTTACACATACTCTCAAGCCTATATATCTATAGAAGCAGATGACAAGCAGCAACATATTAATGATTTGTCTTTAAGTTACTGTAAAAATGTAATTTTTCAAAACCTTATCACCAGACCAAAAGTAAAATTTCAGAAAGTACAGGCTACTGGCCGTTATACATCCTTCCATACAGTGTCATACTTTATAATATCCATAAACGAAAACTGGTTTCGAGACCCAATCATCGTCTTTACAATATCTCATTTGTATTTAAAGACATTGGCATTTTCCATCCTGACAAAAATGTACATATCATTAGCTGGACATCATTCAAACCCTAGACATGCCTGGGTATATTACAAATCTCCATGATGCCTGATTTATTTATAAAGTGAACAAGATAGTGTTTTATTTCACGTTTTTAGGAACATAATAGTACTTCCGCGATAATATGAATCAGCCTCAGATTTGATGGTTTGATGTTTTCGCTGAACAGATTAAAAATATTGGCTTTTTTTATTATATTCTTTCGTGTTGGTATGATTTCTCGCGTGGTTAGCTATGTGTTGGTGTGTTCTTTCGTGTTAGTGACAATATCTTGGTGTGTTTTTTTCCGTTTTGATGGCTACGTATTGGTGTGTTCTGTCGTGTTAGTGACAATATCTTGGTGTGTTTTTTCCGTGTTGATGGCTACATATTGGTGTGTTCTGTCGTGTTGCTGACAATATCTTGGTGTGTTTTTTCCGTGTTGATGGCTACATATTGGTGTGTTCTGTCGTGTTAGTGACAATATCTTGGTGTGTTTTTTCCGTGTTGATGGCTACATATTGGTGTGTTCTGTCGTGCTGCTGACAATATCTTGGTGTGTTTTTTCCGTTTTGATGGCTACATATTGGTGTGTTCTGTCGTGTTAGTGACAATATCTTGGTGTGTTTTTTCCGTTTTGATGGCTACATATTGGTGTGTTCTGTCGTGTTAGTGACAATATCTTGGTGTGTTTTTTCCGTTTTGATGGCTACATATTGGTGTGTTCTGTCGTGTTGCTGACAATATCTTGGTGTGTTTTTTCCGTGTTGATGGCTACATATTGGTGTGTTCTGTCGTGTTGCTGACAATATCTTGTTGTGTTTTTTTCGTGTTGATGGCTACATATTGGTGTGTTCTGTCGTGTTGCTGACAATATCTTGGTGTGTTTTTTCCGTTTTGATGGCTACATATTGGTGTGTTCTGTAGTGTTAGTGACAATATCTTGGTGTGTTTTTTTCGTTTTGATGGCTACATATTGGTGTGTTCTGTCGTGTTAGTGACAATATCTTGGTGTGTTTTTTCCGTTTTGATGGCTACATATTGGTGTGCTCTGTCGTGTTAGTGACAATATCTTGGTGTGTTTTTTCCGTTTTGATGGCTACATATTGGTGTGTTCTGTCGTGTTGATGACAATATCTTGGTGTGTTTTTTTCCGTTTTGATGGCTACATATTGGTGTGTTCTGTAGTGTTAGTGACAATATCTTGGTGTGTTTTTTCCGTGTTGATGGCTACATATTGGTGTGTTCTGTCGTGTTGCTGACAATATCTTGGTGTGTTTTTTTCGTGTTGATGGCTACATATTGGTGTGTTCTGTCGTGTTGCTGACAATATCTTGGTGTGTTTTTTCCGTTTTGATGGCTACATATTGGTGTGTTCTGTAGTGTTAGTGACAATATCTTGGTGTGTTTTTTTCGTTTTGATGGCTACATATTGGTGTGTTCTGTCGTGTTAGTGACAATATCTTGGTGTGTTTTTTCCGTTTTGATGGCTACATATTGGTGTGTTCTGTCGTGTTAGTGACAATATCTTGGTGTGTTTTTTCCGTGTTGATGGCTACATATTGGTGTGTTCGTGTTGCTGTGTTGCGTTTTGATGGCTACATATCGTGTTGATGTGTGTGTTTTTTCCGTTTTGATGGCTACATATTGGTGTGTTCTGTCGTGTTGCTGACAATATCTTGGTGTTTTTTTCCGTTTTGATGGCTACATATTGGTGTGTTCTGTCGTGTTGCTGACAATATCTTGGTGTGTTTTTCGTGTTGAAGGCTACATGTGGGTGTTTTTTTTCGTGCAATCTTGATTGTAAAAAAACACACACGTGTGAATAGTCGCTCGTAAAGCAGCCTGAGAGTAAGATACAGTAGAGCCAAACAATGAATTAAACTGTACCATACAATTGTTTCGTCCTTATAGTAAAAAATCAAAAGTCATCCAAGGAAAAGTCAAAGTCTAGATGGGGAGGTGCACCAGCCCCATAATTCAATAATTTTCACAAACCTGATAACTTAAGAGCAACATGAAATGCTTATAACAGCAAATCTTTTATAGATATAAAATGTTTAGGCTACCCCTCGGGTATTAGGTTATTAACTGTATTTGATGATAAAATTTGGATGTTCTTATCCCATTGTACTAATGTGAACATCTAACTGATGTCAGGCCATGATATATGTATTGATATATCATCCATGTGTGTTCTGGTGAGGGGTGAGTTAAGAGTATTTGATTGAATGGGTTTTTTTCCCCATGAAACAATCTTCTTTCCGGTATGGCTACCCGAGCCATTAATTAAGTTAACAAATGGTGATACGGGTATATCCAAATGTAACAATGGAATTTTTTGTATTTCGTTCACTCACGCGAAATCAAATAGTTATCAACTTACATCAGTATTTTGATACGCTGTCACGGATATAAACTGTGTTTCCGGGAACGCATGCGTCTGGAGGGTCTTTTGGTCGTTCAGCCCGCACGTGCCAACCTCAATAACATGGATACGAGGCTGGTACTTATGCATGGAGTTCAACACAATCTGAAAATGATTGTTTTGACATATGTTTAAAACACTAAGCGCTGATAATTCTTGTTAATTCTGACTGAAACATAACGATATAGTAATTCAAAATAGCATTATTTATCACAAGTAAGTTTATCAGGAGAATTAAAATCCGTGTTTTATTTGTTTATGCATGGTTAGGAATATTTGTAACTTTCTTCCAGTCTGCAGCCTCATAAAATGTGCATGGCCTGTATCTCATTTACATCCACTAATAAAATCTCAATCGAGAAAGATCCGGGAATGGTAACCAACACTGAATCCTACTTGTGGAATAGGGGAAGTTTAAAATACGCTTTCTTTTTGGAGCTAAAATATGATTGAGCAATTATGTTGTAAAGCATTACTTTGCATATTGGCATGGCAGCCATTCGGGTGGGTCAAATGACATAAAACAACAACAATTTCAGTATTACTCACAAGTCCTTGAGAGTTGCTTTTGTTGTTTGTGAGTTTGAGCTTGCTGAAGACGATAACCTGTTTCATCCAATGGCTTCCAGAGCTCGGGGAATCGGGATGTAGATAAACACGGCCAGCTGTTGATGAAAATACAATGGTATTACAATCATATTGTCAAACATCAGACGGACTCAGACTCGTACAATTACAGTCAAATACAATGGAATTATAAACACAATATCAAACATCAGACGGACTTTGACGCGTACAATTATAGTCAAATACAATGGAATTATAAACACAATATCAAACATCAGACGGACTCAGACTCGTACAATTACAGTCAAATACAATGGAATTATAAACACAATATCAAACATCAGACGGACTTTGACGCGTACAATTATAGTCAAATACAATGGAATTTACAAACATGTAAAACATCAGACGGACTCAGACGCGTACAATAATAGTCAAATACAATGGAATTTACAAACATGTAAAACATCAGACGGACTCAGACGCGTACAATAATAGTCAAATACAAGAAGTCTCTGACAATATTGGACTCCGACAGATTGGTGATACTATTCTAATTAAAGTGATCAGTGAACTGATGGAGATACAGTCACACAAAAACCTATTACAAGCCAGGGTATCGTTTAAAGCTGTAAATAAACAATTCAAAGATGTAAGAGATAATCGTATTTTATTGCAAAATATTAAACAAAATGGGCGAGGAAAAATACATGTATACCAATATTTCAACATTATCCAAACTCATATTACATCAAACAATGGCAAATTACACACAAAAAAGAAATTGACACGGAGACTCATGAAAAAGTACAAGGAGAATAAGACCAGGTGTTCCGGAGAAATATCGTCTTCATCTTCATCGACGACAACCACCGTGTAAATCTTGGTCAAGCACATTCTCAAGTGAGAACAAAGTATACAGCAATGTAACCAACAGGCAAATTAACAAGCATTGAACATGACAGTACCATATCGCACAATCAAATAGAATATTTCACAATGAGATCAATATGGCGACCGTAAACTCCCTCATAGTTTTTATCAACCTGCTTCTTTTGAAACCCCGTATTACGTGTTTGTCCGTCAGATGACGACTTCTTGCACGACAATCCTGATAATGGGAACATGCCCTTGAATATCGAAGCGACTGCGACATGTAAATACCATACCGGATGCATGGAGGTAGCTATCCTGAAATGGAAAATTGACAAGAGGGAAATTGAAATCATCATGCTTATCAAACAGTTTAGTGGAAAGCTGTCTCTTTTGGTTTCATTGTAGGAAAGATCGAGATACGCGGCTGATATAGAAGTCTTTCTGGACCTTTATTTCCAATTCTAGCGTTGTCAAGAAATGTCTTGTTGTTCACAGACAGGACGTCGTCAATATATCCGAATTTGAAAGTAAACGACTTTGCTTCGTTTTGATAAGCTCTTAGATAAACTCAGACTCGAATGAAAACAAAAACATGTCGGCCAACAGACGGGAAGAATTAGTTCTAATATGTATGTCAATAGTCTGTTGGAAGATCTTACTACCAAACTATTGTCTTATTTCAACTGATAATCGCCCTTTCCATAATACTTAGACATTTAAATATAATGCATGTTACACAGAAAACACATAAATTGAATTAACAAAACCATATTTTTGGAGATAGAGAGAGAAGAGGGGATGAGATGGGGAGGGGGGATAGAGGGGAGAGAAAGAGAGAGAGAGAGAGAGAGGTGGGGGGGGGGGGGGGGGGGGGGTTGGATGGGTGGGAGTGGGGGTGGGAGAGAGAGAGATTTACTTTGGTGAGCTAGTTTATGCACACAATCGATGCTTTTTACAACAAATTTATCTAATTCCCAAATGTCGTTCACATTGGTATCCATACATATCCTCATCTATTACGTAAATTTTCCCCTTTACCATCTGCGTCAACATCGTTATGTTAAACACTTTAAACATAGAAAGCGTTAATTTAAAGAAATCAATCAGTTACATCGGATCCCGGAACACATCGAATATTATTTCAAAATCCATTATTGGGCTTAAGGAAATTTTGACGCATGAAAACACTTCAAAGTAAGAGTTCATAGAAATATGAAGTCATCGATAGAAGAGAGGGATTAGAAAGTGATGGATGTACGACGAGTAACAAGGAAGTAGGATAAGAAAGTATTTATAGTTCAATACCATAGCAGTATCTACTTCCTCCTCCATACTCCAAGGCTTACTAACGGTCACACTCTGACCCCTGGTGTTAGATATAGCAATGTAATGAGGTATAAACATGATGATGAGGTGTTTTGTTGTTGTTGTTGTTGATGATGATGATGATGATGATGATGATGATGATGATGATGATGATGATGATGATGATGATGGTGGTGGTGGTGGTGGTGTTTTTGTTGTTGTTGTTTTTGCTGATGATGCTGATGATGATGATGATGATGATGATGATGATGATGATGATGATGTTTTTGTTGTTTTTGTTGTTGATGATGGTGGTGTTTTTGTTGTTGTGGGGTGTGGTGTGGTTGTTGTTGATGATGATGATGATGATGATGATGATGATGATGATGATGATGATGATGATGATGATGATGATGGTGGTGGTGGTGGTGGTGGTGGTGTTTTTGTTGTTGTTGTTTTTGTTGTTGTTGTTTTTGCTGATGATGATTATGATGATGATGATGATGATGACGATGATGAGTGATGATGTTTGATTGGACATTGTATATCTATTATATATATTGAAAATATCTGAAAAAGAAAAAAAATAACTGTAAGTACAGATCTTGATACAAAGTTATGTATTTTGTATTCTATGTATTTCAGTCAGAATTGATCAACAGATGTACAGCTTTGTACATATAATATCTATCAATCTGATCAATTTTATCGAGAGTTCAGTTTCCGTGCTGGTGAACTACCGACACAACTAACCAGATTTTATCGACTCTAATGATCGCTCTCTGTTGTGTTACGTCACAGTGTACAACAAATACCTACTTCTGGTGTTTATATTTACTACCAATGAAGAAATTATATATAAACAAAGCCTGATGTTTCTTTACTCGAATAAAAAATAGGAAAACAAAACTGACAGCTATCAAACGAAAAAACAATTTAATGAAGCACTTATTAGTTCATATTTGATCACAAATAAAATTACTAGATTCTCATTAATTGTCTGATGTGAAAATTTAAGTCATTTAGAAAAGATATACTTACAATGCTGTAGAATATATTTTGTTTACAAAAAAATATATAATCCGTTCGTGCCACATGGATGGTTTGGACAAAAGTCTTGCAAAAACGGACGTTTAATTGTGAAATCTCCGAGACCTGTGATATATTGCTGTAATGGTTAAGCGGGTTAGGATTTCTTTAACAATGGAAGGTATTCGTCACAACGATATTTAATCTTCTTGATAAAGCTAAGATTCAATGTAGCATCGCAGTTTAAACGCAACCGAAACTTAGCCGTGCCGAATTAATGTAGCAACTCCGAAATACATTTATGTTTAAAATACCGAAATGATTGAAATCTCTAAATGAAGACTAAGTGAAAAATACATTTTGTTGATAGGTCACCTAGTCAGGTAAAGTAACGTTTACAATGCATAAAATGTTTTCTGGTGTATTTAAACGAATCAAACATGTCTTTCTGCAAAATAAAATTTGCTGTCTGATTTTGACAGACAGTTGATTATGCTGGTAAGTGTCTATTGATATGTAGACGGGATGCGATGGACAGCGGTCAAAACATTGACGTAACTAGGCAATATGGTTAATAGAAGTCTCTGTGTAAGCATCACATCATCTAACTACAGTACAAACTGTGTGACAGGTGATTCGCTGAAAAAAAAACTAGACAGGTGAATACCAGACAACACTGATTATTGGTCAGACAACAATGACCAACGTCCACTATTCCTAAAGCCACTTGACCGCTCATTAACGGTGGATGTCACATAGAAATTTGAACTGGGCTGGGGAAAGTGTTAACAACTCAGAAATTGCAATATAATACTATTGGGCGTTTCTCCGCCAATCTCGCGTTTCCTCGACTACTACGGCTGTAATCAGGTCTGTTGACCATTATGTTGACCACCCGATCATTATACCTACGGCCGTGTACGGTTATAATTAGCCGAGGATATTGTTGGGTAATTGAGCTATCTTATTCTGCTCAGCGTGTATGGGCCACCATGGCGTTTAGTACAATAACGATCAAATGCTCGTCACAAAAACACTAATCATTTAATAACCTACGTTGGTGAGCTTATGGCAGTCAGACACAAACATACGGATGTCAGGTGGAAACGTGTCCTCAGATTGGCGAAGTACTTCGTGTATAAAACTGGGTGAGGAGCGGACTAGAGTTATCATTCTGTCAGTCAAGCTACTGGGACCTTCATTAAACAGTCCTCATAAAAATTGTCACAAAAAAAGTGTCATTTTAAAAACTGCAATGGAAGATGTTAAAAATAATTCACATACAGAAGAAATCGATATATTGATTTATATCATGAATGTACATGAAGATTTAAAGAAAGAAAAAATAATTAAGAACGAAACTGGCCAAGATTAGATGAATTTGAATTAAATTTTACTTTATTTTTACTTCAAAAACCAATCAACATTGATCAGTTATTATCGTGGGTTCTATATTATCGTGGGTTACCAAAGGATTTTGAAAGCATACTTCATAGTGTCACCACAATGAAATATACTATGGAGGGCACCATACAGAATACCCAACCCCATCACATGATACTGAAAAACTAGTCGTTTCACTGTAGAGTGTTAAACAGGGGGTAGTACCTACCATTTTTTTAAAGACCTGGTGTGTCTAGGCCAAAGTACAGCACACAAAACCGGCCTTATTGGCGAACAAATAGCCAAAAGTGAAGTGTCACGGGAGGTAGTAGGGAGAGAAATAGTACTTAGAAGGAAGAACAGAAATCAGAACAGTTGATAATACGGAACAATCAATAATACGGAACAATCGATAATACGGAACAATCGATAATACAGAACCAATGATAACAGGGAACTGATGATAATACGGAACCAAGGATAACACGGAACTGATGATAATACGGAACCAAGGATAACACGGAACTGATGATAATAGGAACCAATGATAACAGGGAACTGATGATTACGCGGAACAGTCGATATTACGGAAGCGTCGATGATACGGAACCTACGGGAACAATGCTAATACGGGAACACGGTTTAAATGAAGTCTTGCTAACAAGCTATATCCGTCTTACTTTGTGGAAGAGGTTCGGCTTGACCACTCGCCGTCCATTTGCCGCCCTGGAACTTCCAGTGGTGATGATCAGCCAAAATCATGTCTACAAAGACGTTGTAATGTTTGGACGGGCAGAGTCCAGTCAAGCTGAATTGAAGTGTGGGAAACATCCGCCTACAAAAAATAAATACAGAATCCGTTTGAGATGAGGAAGATTAATTTTCTTTTCTAATGTAACTCACTAAACCTTGTCACGTTTCGGATTTAACGGCGTTTTTATTGCATTTATGGTGGAATAATTGCAATGGGAAACAAATATATGCTATTTAACCCTTCTCTATTATATACATGTGCATATCAAAACATAAATGCATAAGTTATTATTTAAATATTTATTTTCTTACAAAGTATATGATCGGTACAAGAACAATATATTGTATTCAACAATATTATATACAACAATATATCCAGTTAAAGCACCCACTTCTTCGTATGGTTGACAACGGATAAACGGTTTACATATATCTACATTATATATCATTTATTTTATTTTATCAATACTGTTTATTAGGACCTCGAAATAAGGATATTGTCAATTTTATTATAGCGTTGCGAATTCAAATAATTTATGATGTCTTAATATTAATTTGAATATATTTTGTACATACATTTGTATATGACAGTTTATGAATAATTCATCATCAAATCTCTTTGAATTGTGTATTGTGTTTTGTATTGTGTCCTATTAACTACATTTGTGTGTTATTACAATGAAATATAAACTAATATCCGTGATTTGTGTGATATCTAGATTGATAACATGATTATCCATTTATCTGACACTTATAAAACAACGATTCTTATATGTTTTTTTCAAATTTTCTTTAGCCCATGAAAATTGAAAATTTTTCGAAATCTCAAAATAATTGAAATTTTCGTCGTTTCTATTTTTCTAACGCAATTTCATATAATCGCAAATCTTTCGTTTTATCTCTCTCTCCCTCTCTCTGTAAGTATAGTTCTTTTTGGCAAACTACAATTTACTAATTAATTACTAATTTACTAACTAAGATTTTTTCTTTCGTAGAAAGTCACCATGTTGAATTTAATTAATGGTATGTAAGCACTATATGTAATATTATACGTTGTTTTCGTATTGGAATAATGATGCATCATAATATATAAGGATATGTTGTACATTATCTAAGTATCAAAATCCAATACAAGATTCTAAAGAAGGATGGAAATAATATGTATGAGAATGAACACCATTTGTTTCAATATTACCATAAACTAGATCTAGATTAAATGTAGCAATTCATGAACACGTTGTAGTCATTTCACGAAATCTTCAGTTTTTGACAAAAAACATTTACCAAATTTTATAAATCAAATAAACTATTTGTTTACCTGTACAGAGTTATAAATCACCTTTTTAATTCTTTGTATACGTCTGTCGACATCCGTGAAAACATTTTTGAGCATCAATATTAACAAACTTGACAATAAATACTGTCATTTCCTTCACTATTGTTTTTTCATATTAACTGCTTAAATAATTTTATTACAATTAATTCTGCAGTATAAATCGCCTATTTAAAGTAACATTGTATATTCAAATTGTTCTTGCTCTATTTACATGTACAGAGTTCCAAGCTAGAGAGAAAAACAATTTATTTTATTACTGTAGAGTGTATGCTACATTGTAATTATGTTATTCTATTTATGAATCTTCATTTCTGGAGGAAATAAATTAAAAAGATCTTTCATGTTTTTTCTGAAATTTATCTGGTGTGAGAGAGCCTCGAAGAACTATCGAATGAATTGTTATTATGATGCGAGTTTATCCCGCGCGCTTTCATTCTATTAATCTAATTGACAGCGGAAGTGGTAAATACGCATGTCTATTGTCATTTCAATACGTTCACAAATACAAAGTTTCTCATATCAATTATATTTAGTTTTCTATTCTTTCCGAATACGTTTGAAGATAAAGATGACATAAATATCGATGTATCTACAATGAGTTCAAACGCAACCGCCTTCTAGCTGAAGGTGTACACAATATATTGTCTGTTTTTTTAGTGTTTAATGTCTCCGATGGTCACGTGCGCACGCGGCTGCCGTATTCTGTAATCCTAAACTCGACTTTCAGCCAGATTAATGTGTTTTTACAGTATTTCTCTCCTCTTGATGAAATCAGATCCCTACAATATTGACAAATGGATACAATTCAAGTGTACTTTTACAGCGATTAAGTATAAGCGCTATGATTATATACGAAACTCACCTGTGTAGCACCATATAATACGCTATATTTATCTTGTATTAAATCACTGACATAGATATATGTTTAAGTAAACAAAGATATATTGACACAAACAGTTATCAATCGAAAGGTTTGAAAACATATTATTGACAATTAAGTATGCATATACTTTTCTGACGTCTTTCGGATAAATTTGATTTACAAATTACACCAAAGGATATTTTCTTACGATATCACAATATATATATATATTTCAACTCATGTGAAAATACAAAAAATATTATCGAATTGTAGTTATATAGACTTATACACATTCGCTGACAAACACACACTATTTGAGTAAAAAAATTCATGAATTATTATTCATATTCTTGAATTCTGGTATTCACTGAGGTCTGATTTATAAATATCTTGCAATGCCCCTTATTAAATTGTGAATTAAAATCTATGGATACATTGTGTAACTGACTGATCACTCACCAGAATACTGGTTGTTGATTTCATATCTAATAGTTCATTAAGTTTTGATATAATTTATATAAGTTTTAATATAGTTTATACAGTTTTAATATAATTCATATAGTTTTAATATAATTTATATACTTTTAATATGATTCATAAAGTTTTGATATAATTTATATAGTTTTAATATAATTCCTAATGTTTTAATATAATTCATGGTGTTGATTGATTGCTTTCAATTATTATGATACCATAAAAAGAGTGAGGCTTGAATATATATATATATATATATATATATATATATTCTATTCTATTTATATTCTTTTTATTACTATCATTATTTTTTTCAACTAATTGGGTTAAAAATAGCCTTAATTACACATTTACTTTATACTTTTGAAATCATACAATAAATGAAAATTATGACATTTAATGAATTTCTTGGGGCCAATGCATTTGACATTTCCATGGTTACACTATGCTTGAATTTATCATGGTTGATTATGACTAACAGTAATCGTAAATCTTAAATCGTAAATTCATGCACAAAGCTATATATATATATATAAAGCATTACAATCCCGATACTTCCTCTCGCTAATCTAACACATGACACCGTCATCAAATCACGAGACACAGACACGTGATCAATGAAACACAGGCCACTTTCAAAACTAACTTCAAAATGGTTGAGAACGCGATTGACGCTGATACATATATACAGATGTACCAGGTAATTGGAATGTACAGTCAGGGGCGTGTGATACCGAATCTGTTTTAAGTCCTTGCTACATACATTCACAGACTTTTTTTTTATTTCTTAAGTTTGTAGTCAGACATTCATTTTCAGAATGACGCCACTTAGAAACGGTTTCCATCGAGAGCGGCACGGTTCGTTTAGCGCGCTACGCGTTTCATGTCTATTTGACTTGAACATCTTAACACAAAATAGTGGGAACGCGTGCAAATTCTCCATATTTGCACTTGTTAAACTCTCTTTGTTCTTACAAATACCCGAAATGATTTTTTTTACGAAGAAAATTAAGATTTTTTTTTTCTTTTGCATAACATCATACAATATCATATATACATATATCTTGATATTGTACTTCACGCGTTTATATTCTTAACTATAGGAGCTGTTGTATGTATACAATATACGCACGTAAACTCTGTGTCTATTGTTCACTTTGTATGTAATTGAACTGATTCTTGCATGCAATGTGTTTACTATATACGTTTTCTTTATATTATATCGTTCCCTATGGAAAACGCTTACTTCACGCGTTTATATTCTTAACTATAGGAGCTGTTGTATGTATACAATATACGCACGTAAACTCTGTGTCTATTGTTTACTTTGTATGTAATTGAAATGATTCTTGCATGCAATGTGTTTACTATATAACTTTTCTTTATATTATATCGTTCCATATGGAAAACGCTTATTTCGCGCGTTTATATTCATAACTATAGGAGTTGTTGTATGTATACAATATACGTACGTAAACTCTGTGTCTACTGTTTACTTTATATTAATTTAAATGCTTCTTATGTGTATATTTGTGTACAAACGCACTATTACTTTCTGTAATGTTAATGTATGTTCTTTTTGTACAACTCTTCACACTTGGAGGAAACAAAAGAAATAAAAATCGAGAGCGGCACGGTTCGTTTAGCGCGCTACGCGTTTCATGTCTATTTGGCTTGAACATCTTAACACAATATAGTGGGAACGCGTGCAAATTCTCCATATTTGCACTTGTTAAACTCTATTTGTTCTTGCCTTCATTCATTTTCTCGATTTTTGGTGTATTCAATATCTCCTTCTGGTTGATTTTAAATATATTTTATTATCAGTAATAGATAAACGGATCTGAGTTCTAGAAAGGTATGAACTCTTCTCCATAAATCAAATTACAAATAACTGATGTACTGCGTTTTACACATAATTATAATACAAGCATGAAAGTATTTAATTTCTAGACGTACAATTGTAAATCTAAATAATTTGATCAAATGGAGGAGAAAATGAGAAGATAGAAAGAAAAGAAGGAGAAAAAAGACAATACAGATTTGATATCAGTTCAATGCCGCCTACAAACAGTTCAGAATCAGGTAGTATTGAAACGTTTTGATAGTTTCATAAAATTTTGAACAGATCTGAAATATTATAATTAGTTTCATAAGAGTAAATATCAGTCGCCCCATAAGATATTTTATTTAATATTCGCAGTCCAATTATCATTTAGAGCAACGAACTCCTCCAGGCAACATTTTAATATACAGTACAATTGTTAACATTTTTCTGCTAAATCCAAAACTTCAAAATCAGTTTTCCACTATAATACAATGGTAACCTTTGAAGCTCAAAATAGAATAAATTATTACGAACATTTTTCTTAACGCCTACAATTTTTTGGGGGGTTGGTCAAAAATTGGTATGAACTTTTTCAACATTAGGTACTCGATGAAAAGCACTAATTCCCGAAGCAAAACTAGACATACTTTAAACATAAGTATCAAAAACATAACATGTATGTTTTAACTTACTCCAGAGAGAAAGTTGGGTTTTTCTTCCATGGCCCACAACATGTTTTCTGGGTGTGCAAAACTTTATCGTTATATTGAAATTAAAAAAAAAAATTTAAAAAAAATCATACACACAAAGAATAAAAAATAGATAATTGAAGTTGTCTAAAATATCTACATGTCTCCCATTTAAAAAATCAATTTTCATGAAGTTGTAGATTTCCATTTTTTCTGAAGACTACTGATTTCGTGTTTCTTATAATGATAGATCACAGGTGATGAATTAAGAATGGAGCGAAATGACCATGGACTGTTAATCTCAAGAGATTCGGCTAGCAGCTTAATCTCATCATCATACATTTTATGAAATATAAGTTCACATTTGTATCTCTAAAGAAAGAGAGTTTTTACTTAGGCTATGCATTTCTAAAACATTTCAAAAATATATCTATAGTGACATTTTGAATTAGTCGGTCTTTCTTTTGTGACGTCATAATGCCAATCGAACCAGGAAAGGTGGCAGCACAATGTCCAAAGACAAGACAGAAAATGTTAATTTTGTTTTACCTCTATAAGGGATGAAGTTCACTATTTATTCCAGTGTCACGATTCGAGGATGATAGACGTGAGACCGTGAGAAATGTCTACCATTTCGCTATTGTAATAATCCTAATTTAGTTAAATTGTACGGGTCATAAAAAAATATATAAAATTTTCTTGGTCTTTTATTAAGCAATTTTAACAAAATTTTGTAAAAACTCATGTAAAGATTATGTAGTATTACACTATACTTACCATTCAGTTTGTCATTTATCTGTGTTAAGGGAGTATGTTACCTCACGTAAAGCATTTTAAAGTATCCGGGGAAATCAAATAAGCTTGAAATTTGAAACTTGTCATGTCAGTAAGTTCAGATTGATGACGCATTAATTACCAACAAACTTCAAACATTACCACGTCACATGTTGTTCATTTCCTGTTCCTTATTAAATGGACATCGAATATTAAACAGCATATGACGTCATCTGAACATATTTATATCAAACGAACAACATACGATCGTTGAATTCGTTGGAAGGAGTGCTACCACTTATTACATAAATGTCATACAATTAATTTACTACAAACGTTTCCATGTCAAAATGCAATAAGTTAATTACAGGTATTGAACTCCGGTTTGCTACCTTCGATATCATGTCAGAATGTTTCTGTTGTTAATTTCAGTACGACGGAATCAACAAATTCCTAAATCATAAAAATAGAGGGGAAAAAAAGGAAAAAATAAACAAACAAAAATGGATCGATCACTTTCCAGGAAAGTTTTCTTCTTAAATATTTCATCACCTATATTTTTTTAAAATAAGTATTAATACATGACACAATCTGTGGGGAAAACCTGCTTTCTGATTCATGTAATGTAGAACATAAAAACATTTTATTTGCGTCCTAACTGAATGATTGTAACTCTGAACGCCTACACGCCAATTTGTTTTTAAAAGGAGTTAAATTTTTTTCACTGAAAGAAGGAGTCAGCTCCAACAGGCAAATGTACCTGTAAAACTTATCTGTTGGTTCTCGGCAACTAATATCATTTGCATTTTTATTTCTTTTTCGAAAGTTGAATATCCTTTTTTGCAAAAAAAAATATGAATATTAGAAAAATATATATATATATATATATATATATATTGATTTCAGATGATTTTTTATTTTATGAGATTTTGAATTATTGATAATCAATAAAAAGTTAAGATGACTTTCTGTAAGTATCTCATATATGTGTAAAAATAATATCATTCATTCATAATTACATACAAATACATGTTACATGGTATTAAGAATCGCATTTGAATCAGATTCAAAAGACAAGTTTCATAACTCATAGATTCAACTGTCTTTATTTTTAACGCATGAATTTGTAGGACGGCATCAAATGGGAAAATGAATTCATGGAATACTGTGTACTGGTGAAACATTGTAAAACTGGAAGTTGGAGGCTAAACTGATAAATGTGACGGGGAAAATGTGAAAAGAATAGGAGGGAAAATAGTATAACTATTTTATATCTGTTTATGAAATGATTACTTTTGCAATATAAATCAAAACAATTTGATAGTGTTGGAATGATTTCGAAGAAAATAAAACGATGGAAATATTTTATGAGTACTTTGCTAGGCCCGGATGTTTGCAGAGACTGGTAACAAGAATGAAACACGCGATGTTGCGGTGATTCTACTCCATTGTACAGAATTAGATACAAAATATATGTTTCAAATTGTCCATAACCTTCACTGAATTCATATTGAGTCGCATATTGAAGTCTATAAATACATATCTATATATACATTTGATATAAATCATATTTTTCATATACAAGATCTGAGATGGAGATTGTTTGTGTGAAAACAAAGTAATTTTTAAATGACTTTACTGCCAAAACCCTCAGACGCCAGATAGACATTATAAAAAAAAAATAATCAAATTTTTGTTTTCGCGATTCATTTTCAAAATAACGTAACACGTTTCACAGAATATATATTTTGGCGGTCGAGCGACGCAGTGCTATCGCACTCGCCTTTCGCCAAGCCGTCCGGGGCTCGATTTCCCGAAGGGACGTGATAAGGTAAAGGACGCCGGCCTGATCTCGTGGGCGTTCCCCAGGTACTCCGGTTTCCTCCTAGGGTAAGACCTTTCTCGCGCTTCAATCTGGGGCAACACGTGCAATTGATATAAGTTATATAAATATCAAATATCACTATAATTATTTTGTCCTTGAAATTGTTCCGAATGTTCTTTAGATTTAAATATATTTAATTATATATATATAACCCAAATGGCTACTCATTATCAATGTAAGTTTCTGTCTTTGTGTTGTTGTTTACTCAAATATATTTTACAGGGTTCCTGTTGAAATAATTAGACAAATATCATTACATTTTACCTTGTTTTGATGAATGTTGACTACCATATATGACCACCCATGAAACACTTGTGTTAATTTTGAGTTGAACTCTCCGAATAAAAATGTTGTTTTTACTCTTAACTACGTATATTTATCATGTATGTGGTTGTCACGTGGTACTTTGGTTCATCTATGGCTTCAAATGTTGATGCGATAAAAAATAAAAAAAATAGATAAAATGAAAAGCAGAACATCGCTACAAACGACGTTACTATTGTTTGTGAAAATAAGCGTTATGTTCTTTTGAACAATAGAACAATACCAACAAAGATGTTTATACTATACTATCCATTCAGATATACATGTACAGTCGCACTGCCAAGGTGTCGAAGTCTTGAAACACCAAAGTTTAAAGGAAATTTTGAAGGATTTTCTAAGCGACTCGTCTAGAACGTCATTTGAAACGAAAGTCGACGAGTTCTTTTACTAAAAGATGTAGTGGGTTGCCAAAAAGTGTCCCACAGAAAAGTCCGGTACAAAATATTTTTGTTGAGAAAAAAATCACTGATTATAGGTTTTTCACTTAAAGATCACACAGGTTTAACTGTTAAAGTATTTGATGTCTGTATTCTTGGTGATTCTTGTGAAAATGACTTTCAATATTTTTTTCAAATGTTCTAATTTAACAAATCAAAGAAAGGTTTTGGTAAAAACTTTGATGCTTTGAGTGTAGAATTTGTCTCAGAAATTATTTCTTTCGGAAATTCCTCAGCATTACCACTTTCAATGCGTGCAAACTCTCATGAAATTTGGTGAAAACGATGATAAAAAATTCGATTTCAATGACAGGGTTAGATTTCAATTGTACATAAATGTAATAGTATTGAATTTCGCTCATCGATACATTCCGTTTGTGTCCTGAATCTTAAGTACTTGTGATAGGTTTCAATTATTAATGCCAAACCCATTGGTTTGATTTTACAATAAATGTGCTTAAATCGGACAGTAACATCACTGAACTTTACCCATTCTAACTTACAGGTCGTTAACGTTATGGCCAATTCTTAAAATACATTAACTCCAGAAAGTGAACGCACAAGCATACACAAAACAAAAGCAATAGTTCGACGTGAAACAGACTTATAACACAGTGATGGAACACTGAACATTCATTTTCAGAGATTTCGAGAAATCATTTTTTTACATACCTGCCCTGTTTTGTGATGATCATCTCAGTAGTGTGTGCGTGGAATTTGCTCCAGAGGTCTCTATTACAAAGATACACACAAGCTTTCTCTTCGTCCGCAGGCTGATAAAGGCATCTTGCCTGGGGGGACAGGTCCTCTTCGGGTTGACTCCCTGGCGCCATCCCGTGGGGCGAGTTTATCAGGTGGGACGGGGTATGCGCAATGGGCTGCTTGTGTGAGGGAGGACTGCCCCCGTATCCCCTGGGGTACTGGTGACCTGGCATCGCTACTACATCTTCGTAACCATGTTGATAGTTCAGATACTGCTGCATATGTTCCGCATTTACAGGTAACATTTGGCCGGAGGTCTCACCTGAATAGTTCTGATATTGAACCGGAAAGGGATGCTGAAAATTTCCTTGCATCGAATTGAGGTCTGCAGGCTGTAGACAAACGTAGTTCGATCCATCGGTACTCGCGATAGATTTATGAGGAGAAGACAGCTGATGACTTCTTGGAGAAGAATTTTCAGATGTATCCTGGGTATCTTCTTCGACTGCATCTCGTGGATTTATTTCCGGAGGGGAATCCGTTTCCAGTAAGACTCGGCAAGGATGTTTTTGGGAGTCGTTACCAAGATATGGATAACCGTAATAGTAAGACTTTATACCATTCGCAATTCCCGGGGTAAAATTGCTGTGCTGCTCTTCAACAGGTCTGGAAATTCTATTATCATTTTGAGATGAATAAACTGTTTCGGAGTTTTGACGCCTGCTCTCCTCAAATTGCTGGTGATAAATAATATGTTCTGTCATCTGGATGTTAACGGGTGACGATAATACCGCTGACACTTTGCACGTGTTCTCCCTTTTGTGTTTAACACTCCTAGATAGTGTAAATTTGGCTCTCTTCTCTCACCGTTAATAACGCTTGTTAATGGAGTTCACTGGTATTTTGTATGTCTCCAACTATTTCACAAAGTCGTAACTCTCCCCGAAACCATTGTCGTTTAACCAATCGTGTAACTTATGTGACATAGAAAAAAAAACTTTGTAAATAGGACCGTTTTAACAGTCCTTGAAACGTTGACTAGTGCCTTGATTCAAGTACGCTGTCATCAAATAATTTACCTACATCGACGACCTGTTTTGTAACGGGTGATTGAACAAGGGACTCCGCAGTTGACAATGTCAATTACGCGAGCGAACTGCGTTGCTTTTGTCTCATTAATGGTTGTCACCAAAGACCACCATATACGAAGCTTTTCATTGGCTAATTTGAAAACAGCCTGGTAGCTCACAGCCAGTCAGGGAACTCAGGTGCGCCGGTGACACGAGCTCACAATACGTGTGATCAACACTACTGAACGGCGGCCAAACGTCAACGAAACCTTGAAGGCTAGAGAATAAATATCTGGCGTCTGACAGAACACTTTTTAGCATTATGTAAAAACATTATAATTGTAAGACAGAAGTGAATTTTCGCTCAATAGCAACATTAATTAACAACATGAATATCGACGATCAAGGGGAATTTTATCGTTATTTTGACACGAAAGTATAGAAGAAATATATTATAACGGGGGATATACATATTTTATTAATGAATATGTTAAAATTGTTGAAATTTCCAATCTCTTCGTGATTTTGCTTGTTACGAAACTACTGTATTTCACATACCAAAACAACTAGAAATTTAAAGTTTCTGTGGAGAAGTTGTATCAGACAAAAATCTATAGTAACATAGGAGGATTATTTCACGTATAAAGTTACACAGATTCTAGTCTGGGGTACCACGTGACTACTTACTGAAGAATTGGCCAATCACATCAAACATTTACTATATTCAGAGAAGAGAAACAATATATAATAGTATGTGACGAGGCTTCTAACGTAAGACTAACGATAAATTCCCACTGACCGAAGATAATAAGGCGACCTGTACTTCTCAACTTCTACTCTATACAAAATGACTAAACGTATGTAATTACAACTTCGTAATATATCAGAACATATTGACCCGAAAATCATCATCATCATCATCATCATCATCATCATCATCATCATCATCATCATCATCATCATCAGCATCATCATCATCATCATCATCATCATCAGCAGCAGCAGCAGCAGCAGCAGCAGCAGTAGCAGCAGCATTAGCAACTTCATGGGAACGTCATGGAATCATCATCATCATCATCATCATCATCATCATCATCATCATCATCATCATCATCATCAGCATCATCATCATCATCATCATCATCATCAGCAGCAGCAGCAGCAGCAGCAGCAGCAGCTTCATGGGAACGTCATGGAATCATCATCATCGTCGTCGTCGTCGTCGTCGTCGTCATCATCATCGTTGTCGTCGTCGAAGCTCCTTACCCTTGGCAGTTTGTGTTTCCAAGGAAGCTGGGAAGCGGACCGGTCTGTGGTGTCCTGGTTGTGTTCATAGGCAGGACATTTGATCCTCCTTATCAGAGGACACCTTGTCCTTAATATGGTGCACTATAGACGCAGACTTACACTGGGAACCATACAACCAATACATCCACGTAGGTCCGGACAGGGTTTGGTGTGAATTTGACAGATTCGTCACATCTTCAGTATACTTGTCTACCATCTTCAGAACAAATACCCGCAATATCGCTAAAGAAAACAAAACAGGTGCGTGTCCTGCCCCTTAGGATATAGGATACTCGCCTAAATCTTCACATACACGGTGAACTACAGTGGTTAACAAAAAACTGTGGTGAGATAAAGGAAGTAACGGAAACAAATTACGAACTTGTCAACATTTAAAGAAAGATTTGATTCCCAATCATTATGTTATGTCCACAATAAAAATTATATTACTGGACAGCCTGATCCCGATTTTGTACAGGTTGTCTGTCCCTATCCACAGAGATAGGTCGATACACGAACATTCCAGTGGAACACCGTCTATATCAAAATCATGACTATGGCCAAATTGAAGACGAGGCTAATTTTCTCTGTGCAATTTTAATGACATAAAAGTCATCTTTTTAGTGAAGCTACATTTTTTTTTACCAAGTTTTCCTCTCTTGAATTCATCTGATATTTTGCTATTGTTAAAGCGAATGCCAGATATTCAGTTTTATTTGCTAAGACAGTCTTTTTAATGCTGCGATAACCGGCGTTCGCTTTTACATTCTTAGTCAATATATATTTGCTATGTTAATCTGTTTTACAGGTGTCTCATAAGCCGGTATCCGCCGGATATCACTTTAAGTCTATATATAAAACCGGCGTTTATCACGTCTACTGTGATATGTTACACGCAAATAAAATTTATTGTATATATTGTATATCAAAATATTTCCCCCTCCACCTCCCCCCCCCCACACCACACACACACCCAACACCTCACCATGTATATTTCATCAACGACTCGATAACCAATTTTAACAACTTCAGTCATCCTAATGCTAACATCACGATCACAAATCATAATTATATAAATGTCAGTTTGTCAAAAAGGTTATTTTTTAATTTTTTTTTAAATTTAGATACATTTTATTGCTAACTGACGATATAGGATTGGAGACATCATCACATGTTTTCTCCTTCTCCTAACAATTCATATGTAATACAGTAACAACAGCATAAATAACAGAGATATCAGAATATTTATCTTATTGTAATATTTTGCTAATTTTTATAAAAGTGCTCACGTAAATAACGATGTCTATAGCAAGTTCTATCATAAGGAACAGATTTCCTGTCAAAATGGGTCCTAAATTTAGTTCTGCATGTAGCAACTGAACAGTTTGTGTTAGAATGTTTCACTCATTTCTGAAATACGGATATTTTAAGAATAGTGAGAGACATTTTCACACTGACTACTACAAGCTAAATAACTATATATAGTATTACATACAACTACATGAAAAGATATCTTATTTAAGTGCACTACACTTATGTAGGAGTTTTTATGCTGAATATTCACTTTTCAATCCCAAAATTCTTAATACATAAGAGGAGAAATGTGCCTATCAGATAACAAAGATTATTTACAATATTTAGAGACCGTAGTGATGGCAATTAAATGTCTCATGTATTTTAACAGTTAACGGTAGATTGTATGAAAGAAGATTTTATGAGAGATGGTGTAAAGTAGGGGAATTCAATATTATACAGTTATTGACTGGGGTTGAGGACAACAGATGATCTGTTGAACCCGACGGCAAACTGTACAAGGCCCTCAACCCCAGTCAATAACTGTTTTGTTATAACCTTAACAAAGATGACGTAAAAGTACTACAACATAAACCATATTTCAAATCTGTAACGATTTAAGTCACGATCGTCTAAGATTAGTTGTATTTCCTCCTCCGATGCCAGACCGAATCAGTCTGCGTCACTAGGCCTACTGGTTGCCATTTTGTTGTGCAGACGATAAGAGAAGATAACTCTAATGTAAACAAAAGATCGTTATCACTCGGGCGTACTCGTATGTTTCCGTAAATCGGTCAACAGTCGATTTTAACAGTCCATTTGGACCGTTGAACAAAACAGTTAAACTTTTGACCTTTCTTTCTCTATATAAATATATAGGAACTGAATCTACAGGGTATAACAAGTAATGTTGTTTCTATGAACATATGAATTACTATCACAAACAGTAGGTTTAAATGTTCTGTTCAAAAGACTAGGCGTTTGTTATATACTTATAAGAATAGAATATCATTTTCTTGTGTAATAGACACAAAAAAGAGAAAGTCTACGTTTGTAACATCGGTTACTTAAGTTGTCTGTTGAATTTACCGCCTGTTGAATAGCATTGGTCATTTTTGAGGTGAAATCTAAGTGCCAATTTGTTACAAATATCTTATTCATAAATTCGGATTTCCTTGACAGGACATCGTGTGCAAATTTGTTACAATTGTTTGTATTTAAAATGGGACGTACTTCACAAGATATAGCGTGCTACAACTATTTTGATGACAAACTGGGACGTACTTGGCAGGATATTGTTGCCAATTTGTTACAACTATTTTTGTAGAAATTGGGATGTGCTCGACGGCTAAAGTATGCCAGTTTGTAACAATTGGTTCAGTTTTATGGCCGCTAGTGGTTGGCCGTACTATGGTATATCCTTCACTTTACGTCCGTCTCGCCGTCCGGCCGTTCGTTAAACATTTTGTTTTCGCACAATAACTTCCCCAAACATGATCATAATCCAATGAGATTTAATATACCATTAACATAACGAGGTAACAAATGTCATGGTTGATGATGGGAGAAATTGACTCGTTATCTACTTAGCAAAGAGCTTGTGATTAACTTTGAATTTTATTCTACTGCACATATTTATGTAACTATAGTTACTACCACTCACTTCAAGATGGCCGCCAAACCCCGTGATTGACCCAGATATTTTTTTGAGTGATCACTTCCATTCTTTTTGGTCAATGTAGTTCAAATTGGGACCAGTTGTTTCTAATGAGATGTGTAGCAGGTCTTACGACATCTTCCATAACATATTAATACTATATCTCTGTTCCTAGGTTTTTGTCGCATACTTTCGCGAAAGTGCTGAAACATTACATCTTTGTCCTTTCGTCCGTATGTCCGTCGGTATCAAGATTTTATCTTGGTGAAGTGCTGGGCAACAATTATTTGATTTGCTTTGTGGGTCCTGATGGGCGTGTCGGTTACTCTTAAATAAATATAAACTTTATTTATTTTACAATAATTCCGAAACAACTTATACTAATCATTCTTGTCTCGTGCTGTTATTATAACTTGGGATTATTCAATATTTCAGAACGTTTTCTTTGTGGTGGTTA